GGTATGCGAATTGTGGAGGGCCACGACCCTTGGAGAAAACAATGGCTTTGCATTTGGAAGTATTGAGCTCCATGCCGCTCAAAACACACCACTCAGAGAGTCTGTCAAGGTCAGATTGTCTGGCATAGTCTTCAGTGGAAGAGACCTGAGTGAACACCTTTAAATCATCCGCAAAGCACAGAAACTCACTGCTAATGAAACAAGATTTGATATCGTTAATAAAAACGTTGAAAAGCAGGGGTCCCACCTGAGAACCCTGTGGAACGCCCGATAGGACGTCAATGGCGTGTGAGAAGAAGTTGTTGACTTTGATTATTTGAGTTCTCTACTTAAGATAGTCGCTAATCCACTTTCCAGCACTTTCAAGCTTAACAAGCAAAACGGCATGGTTAACACGGTCAAAGGCCTTTGCGAAATCGCTATATATGGAATGGACCGATCCGCCATGCTCAAGAATCCTTAAAACTTTGTCCTGGTAGGACAGGAGATTGGTTTCGGTTGAGCATTTTGGACGGAAACCGGCCTGCTGCTTTATTAGCCAGGGATTGATATTTGGAGTTAGAAACTTTGTCACTATTTTCTCAAATACCTTTGGGAAGGTGTTTTGGATGCTAATGGGCCTGTATTTTGAAATATCCATTTTATCACCCGATTTATGAATGGGTATAATGAAGCTCTGCTTCCAGAGCTTAGGAAATTCACCCAAACTAAGTGATTTATTGAACAGGATGAAAAGTGGACGGGATAATATAAAGCTATAATTCTTGATCATTAGAGGTGGGACACCGTCTGGGCCTGGACTCTTAAAAGACTGCAGGCTACATAGTTTTTCATATATAACTGATATCGAAATATTGAATTCATGAATATGTGCATCGCTCCGAGAGATGACCTGACTAGCCACACAGTTTTTGTTGGAATAAACAGAATGAAAGTATTCAGCAAAGAGATTAGCTATCTCTGAACTATTTTTCGCATTGTTGCTATTATAAAACATGTGAGACGGCAAACCATTTGCTTTTCGCTTAGAATTGATAAAATTTCAGAAGTGTTTGAGATTGTGATCATTCAGCAGTGACATTTCAGAGCGCTGCACATAATTCAGATACGAGTCCTTTGAAAGAGTCTTACACCGAGTGCGAAGATTCGAAAAGTTTTCATAGTCACTATAGGAGAACCAGTCCGCTTCCAGGTTCTGTGTGCTTATTTCTTTTTGATTATTAGTTCCTTTAGGTCAAAGGGGAACCATTTAGGAAATTTATAGATGGAAAGCTTTTTCTTTGGGACAAAGCAGTCAATAGCAGTGTAAAGAATGTCGTAAAAAATACTGACCATTTCTGTCACATTTGGGCCTTGAAGCAAAGCATCCCAGTTGATCATAATAAGATGATCATTAAGAAGTGCGTAATCAGCAGATTTAAAATCATAGTAGTACTCATCAGGAATCGGTAATTGTTCAAAATCATCCAATTTTTAGCTTCCTAGATAGGAAGCTATGGTGATAGCCCGATTTTGACCATGTCAAAATTTCATTAAATCTTGACGTTTTGGATCATTTTAAGCCTTTTTGGCAAGGTGGCACATTTCCGTCTGTGTGTGTGTATATATGTGTTTTGGCATTTTTTTGAGAAAACGGCTCGATGGAATTTGATGAAATTTTGGAAATAGGTATGAGAAGACGTGTAGGGAAAATAAAAGAGATATGGGGAAAAAAAAATTCCTCTCAAAGATATGACGTCATTAATCTTTTTATCTCAATAGGTTTCATTGGGACATTTTTGAAAAAAAAAATGAAAACACGCAATCGTGAAAAATTATCCGTAATTTTGAAGCTCTCGTGGTATTATGTGGTATTATCCTCGAAAATGATATTAAAACCTTAAAAAATGTCAAGATTTATTAAAATGAATTCATGGTTTGAAATGACAATTAATGACAACGACAATCATTAGTAGTAGTTATTCATTTAGGAAGCGTTATGTCAAAAATTTGACATCTGGTTTTATTTGACTTGATTGTGGGTGGGTATGAATATGATTTTAAATCTTATATTTTATAGATATTCCATATTAATGTTAATAAATGAAAAAATAAATGAGCAAAAAAAAAATCGACTCATTGAAATGTTGTCGCAACAATTAGTTGAAGCTTATATGCATTAGTGTCGGAAAGGCTGAGGATGTGCAAGCGAGTAATCGTGCATAAATGAAACTGTCATCGTTGATGAATACATAGTATGATTCACTAGTAGGTATTGTCGATTGCTTGAACTTCTGACAGTCTGGAAAAGCCAAAACTGAAATATATTCATCAAATAGGTTTGAAGCCTTCCTAAACAGTTGATAACATAATGTTACGGGAATGTATCGACAAGGATTTTAGGAATCGAGTTGTTTACGTCTAGCGCGACTATTTGGGGAAAGTCATTTTAAAGAGTCTTGTTGTAGTGAGTTTAAATACAAGATTTGTATGTGAACCAATACATCGACAACCCGACCAGTATTCTAGGAATCGAGTTGTTTACGTTGTGCGCAACTATTTGGGGAAATCTATACTAGTTTAAGTAAAGCTTTGTAGCAGTCAGTTTAAATACGATATTTGTTTGTGTACCACGCGGTTAGTGGCTGTGATGTGATACGATACAACATCAGCATTTTATAATATCGGGAGAAAAACATTCCGTGAGAATGGGCTCTTTCACTAATTTTTGAAATTGGCATATTTGGATAAAGCAACTAAAAACAGAATTTTCTGTATTTTTACTTTTGAAAAATTCAAAGTCCTTCTTGAGAAAACAGAAAACAAAGAAATACCTCCAAATAAAAACCCAGAATTTATTTCTATGACGTCGCAGCTCGCAATTTGACCGTGTTGCCACTAATTGTCAACATTGAAAATTTGTAATAGATTTAATTCTGAAATGTTGGCAAAATCTCATGAAAAGTAGTTTAATTAATTAGTTATAGATTCAAGATTTTATAACATTTTTTTTTTAAATTATGCTTAAACACAATTTAATACAATTTTTTATGTTTAGTTTTACAAAGCCGAGCCGGTCCTCCTTGCAACAACATAAGCGAAATGAAGAATATTTATGTGACGTCGGCAAATCGGCGCGTTTAAAACTAATTTGAATTTGGCCACTTTTGATTGCCTGTGAACAACTTATTGAACCTTGTAGAACATTTTTTTTTTGGTATATATGCCCAAAATAGTCCCTCCTTTGAGATTTTATACTTAAATTACGTATTTAAATTTTAGTCAAAGAGCCCATTAGAGAAAATCGTAGAGACATCTTTAATGCGCGATGCCACGAGATCATTTAATCGATAGTGGTTTACGTTTTCATCTGACGTTGCAGTCCACGTGATGAGCGATTACCGCGACTGAAAAAACTTAAAAACTATTTACAGCGCCTTCATCAAGTATATTTACAGGCTCAAAAGTAGCGCGACAATAAATTAAAATCAACAGAATTAGGATAGACAGTAGCTGATAACATCATTCAATCTATTCACACATTATTTCCATTGGTTCCAGACACCATTTTCAGTAACAACTGCACTAAAGAATGCAATGCGAATTGCAGTTGCATAGACAATTAGACCTTTCATGTTCCACTTTATGCGGTTATTGTCATGGCCAATCATGAATTAATATCCAATTTGATGAGTCTTTCATTTAAACCGATAATAAAATAGGCATTTTAGAGGATATCACTGAGTCTGACGTAATCAATATTAATAATTACATAAATAATGTCAAATATGTCTAGTGGAGACACGATGCCTTGAAATTTACCTTCATAGTGGTGTGGCTTTTATCACGTGGAGGTTGCCATATAATCGACACAATTTTTCTCGTAAACTACCTTATACGAAAAAAAACTGATGGAACATAATTAAGCAATTTTATTACCTAAAAATTACAAATTCGCTAATAACCGATTTCTATCTCCTTTTTACCTTTATAAAAAGAAGAAGCGCCTCAGATTCCGGCCATTATTTATGGAATCAAGCGTTTTCCACCAAAAACACTTATTGCTATTACACCAAAATATGCCTTGTTCGTCTAATTTAACTAGGCTAAAAGCATCGAATGTCGATGTGTCAAGTGAATCTGCTGTGCATTTTGGGTTTTTGCTATGGAATGTTACATTATTTTATGCACACTGGAAAACAGCACACAGTTCCTCGGAATGGGAAACATTCACTCAAGTCCGCTAAACAACAATCTACGGTCTCAATCAAACGACCATCTCAGTTCCAGTTTGGTGTTTACATTTTAATGAAGAATTCAGGAACAAAAATTTTTGCAACAGATATCAGTTTTCTGCTTTCCAGCAATAAACGGCCCCTTCGTTTTTGGCTAAGCCGCACTTTGCAAGGAAGAGAAAACTACAGTTAGGTATAACAAACGTTTATAAAGAGATTTGAAATATAATGACAGTAGATAAAACATGATCTACAGTATGCAATAATGGAATAAAACGAATGCAATGGGGAATCTTGGAACCGCAATTTATCTAGACAAGGGCCGGTATTTCAGTGTTACCTTAAAATCAAGATTCACTTAACTAAGGTAAACTTAACGTTAAGGTAAACTTGAAATCAGTTCATTCAGGTGGCTTAAGATCTAGCTTGAATTAAGGTGATATTGATATATGATGAAACTTGTATTAAGGACAACTTAACGTTATTCTGTACCTTAAGGTGACATTGAAATACCGGCTCTAAGTAAAGTAACTTTGATAAAAACAAAAACAAATTAGAAATCTTGAAATTTGTTTGCAATGGACTTGTTTATTTAGATTCCGTTGCTGTGAGTTTAAGTTTTGCTGATATAGAATAATTGTCGAAACAACTTACTCGTCTATCCAGTGTGTACACTAACGTGACTGCTAATAAATTTTTTTGCGCACTAGACTTTCAGATGCCAAAATCTAAGATGAAAGTTGGTGACGATCCAAAACACTTTCACTATAATAAATTGGAAATTACCTGATGCAAACTGGCTGGCAAAACGATGAGCTGAGTCGGTTGAGGCTGGACATCGGGAGGCGTCGTCGCAGGCGACGGGGTGGGCGGACTAGCGCCGTTTCCAGCTGCAAATCGAGCTGCGGTTGCCATGGCTACGTCCCCAGGGCTACTCCTGTTGCTCTCTGAAATATCCAACCAGAGGATGAGAAACGGGATGCTGCGTGTGTATGGGCATAATAATCGGGATGAAGGAATAACTTTGCTGGTGAAAATACTTTCTTGATAAAGCGAAACGTTAATGAATGGCTCTTATTAAATGGAGAATTTTCATCAAATATTTGAGAGAAAGGTATGTCACTTGCTGCTGGAACATTATTCATATAAAGCGAAGAAATGAAATTTGAGATCAAAAAACCAGTAATGCTACCGGCATAACCTGGATTTTTGCTTGAAAAGAACCAAATACCTATAGACCAATACTAAGCTGAGTAGACATTTTCTAGAGATATTAAATTATTATAGTGAAGTTTGTCGCCACACTGGTTTCTTAGTAGTTATCGTACCAATATTTTATTCTTATACAGTCGCAGATTTGTCCATCGATCAAATTTAAAAATTAACTATTTTAATGATAATCATGTTCGACCTCCAATACCTGAATTTTTTAAACTAATACATAGTAGATACAGTAACAACAAATATTATTTATCAAAAAACAATTGTGAGCAGTGTGCGACATGTCAAAACCAGTGGTATAAACAAATCTCTTTTATCTCATGATGACCGTAAATGGAAAAACATTCAGATCCAACGAAAAACAGTTCTCCTGAGTAGTTCTCAATGTAGATTAGGGTGGAAAAATAACGCTATTTAAAAGCTTCGTAGTTTCAGGTCGCAATTCATTTTCCTGTTAATATGATCAGGATGTTTCGTTACGATATTTTAAGAAAAAAAGTTCCAATAAATATGTGTCCGGAAATGCGTAATTTCTGATTCCTATTTATTTACCAAAAATAATATAACTCAGTACGCCACTGCTTTTTGAAGCATTTGGTATTTTTTATGAAATTAGTCAATGAAAAATACATCTGTCAATTTTTTTTTGTATTCAGTCTGGTTTTCGAGAAAGAAAAAATCCATTTTCTTGCACGTCACTGGGACACCCATGTATCTCAGAAATTACGCATTTCCGGACACATGTTTATGGGACATGGGATACCAAGTTTAGTTGTCTCTAATAAACTTCAATATGGTTTCACGATGTGAAAATAATGATAAGTATTTTCTTATCCTTGCATTTTCAAATCTGTCGCTTTCTCTGAGCTACTTTACGACTCAGCTTGGTTTTAAGTATATCTAGTATTTCAGATTTCAAACTTGTGCCCACAGGCGATAACGGACTAAGATTTTCTTGAAAATGACACAAAATCAGAATCCGAAACGAGAACAAAAAACCCTTCAATCTTGTCTCAAGCCAGGGTTATCAAATTTAGATTTTCTGATAATTGTTTTCGGCCAGATTGATTACAAATTATTATGATGTCGTCCACATTTGCAAGACTTCATTGGAGTAATTGGGTAAAAACGTACTATGGTTTTCCAGTTTCTCCAATGATTGAGTCCAACTTTTGAAGCTTGCTGTCCCTAATGACTTTCGAAGCAACCCATGTCAATTTTCCAAGAAATGGATTACAATAATTAAAATGACACACATCTGACAGATTTTTGGACTTTATTTTAAACAATCCTAATCTATAATGTATTTTTTCCAAGATAGACACGCCCTATACAACATTGAAAACAAACAATGCCTCTTAGCGTTTATTGGTCGCAAAATGCTCTGCAGCTGAGGTATCCTTTTATTAAGAAGACCCGGCAGACCTAGACGAAGCTGGAAAAAAGAAGTATACGATAAGATTATAGCCATAATCAATTTTACACTGTATGTTGTGAAAATATAATATCAAAAATAATAATCACTAAACGTTTGATTAAATAATATAGGTATAAATCAAGAAATAAGTAGTTTGATTTTCAATATTTTTGTCCAAATTTAATTGGACGAACCCAAGATATTTGTCACTGAAACTTGTTACAATATTTCTACAACATCCAGCATAAAATTGATTACAACCTTGTAAAACGATACCCTTCGTCGACTGCAAATACACGGCATTTTGCGACCAATAAGCAGTATTGTTTATGTTTTCAATATTGTCAATGTCGTGTCCATCTTGAGAAAAAAATACAACAACATTTTGAAACCATTCTTAGGGCTTTGAAAGTTGACATGAGTTTCTTATTTCCTTGAAGACATATTAAGGTTACAATACGAACAGGATCCATTAGCAAGTCTCAAAAACTGGCCTTGATGATGGGAGAAACTGGCAGATTTAGAAAATCATAGAACGTTGCTGCATGAAGTGTATATAGCCAATATTAGGATAATCCCTTTACCTTGAATTGATATTCGTTTACTGTTTACATTGAATAAAAAAATAAATAAAATTCATTACCCGCGGAGAGGAGAGCATTCACTCCGGCAAGGTGGGCAACGGATGACTACTGAAATAAATAACTATTATGAAATTGTGCTTGTGCATTATTAAATAGATAAATGAAATAAAAGTTGTTAAATGTTTAATAAACGAAAGTATGCCATGTGTCATGTGTAGAATTAAATGAAAGTCTAGTCGTAAAGACGTCTTTAGGCAGACGTCTGAAAGACGTTGGGTTTTGTAACATACGACGTCTTCAAGATGTCTTTGGGATGCCTTAAAGACGAAAGCAAGACGTCTTGAATGTCGTTTGTGGACATCAGATGTCTACAAAAATTTCCCACAGAATTCGTTTCTCATTCAATTGAGAAGTTACAGGAAACCATTTAGAATGCTACAGAACACTTTAGAACTTTAATAAGCCTTTTGGAATGTTCAAAACACTTAAAATTCAATTCAGAATTTCCAAAAGCATTCTGTAGCGCTAACACTCAAACACTCTAGAATCTCCAGAAACATTTTGAAATGCGCCAGAATCTTAGATTAAAAAGAATTCAATTTAGAACTGGAAATCTTTTAGAACTCTTTTGAACCGATTTAGAACACTTTGAAGCTTCAATAGGGCTCTAAAATACTTGAAGATCCATCAGAACAATTTAGAAATTAGTCAAAAACTTCTAGAATGCTGCAGAACTCTTTAAGCCAAGTTAGAACACTTTAGAACTTCAATAAGCCATTTAGAACGTTCTAAAACACTTGCCAGCAGCATTTTGAAAGGCTTCAGAACAATTCAAAAACCTCAGAATTATTTAAGAGAGCCTAGCGCCTAGAATAGACAAAAATTGGAAGTTATAACATGAGTAATAACATAATAATAAGAAAATATAAGCAAGAAAATGTTTCTCTTTCAATTCAAATTCTTGAATTTTCATAAGTTTTCCTATTCCAGGCTCTTGGTTTTTCCTAATTTTTTTATTCTAAATTCTTAATTTTCTTTTGGCTCGTGAATTCTCATCATTCTCGTATTTTAGAATTTCAGGCTCTCCTGAAGACGCCATCGGGCAGATGCAGACGTCTGAAAGACGTTTGGTTTTGTGAGATACGACGTCTTTGAAACGCCTTGAAGACGTAAGCAGACGTTTGAAAGATGTCTCGAATACCGTTTGTGAACATCTTAGGGACGTCTTTAAGATGCGTCTGTGCAGTCTGGGAAACAGTGAGTTGTGATTTAGATTCAGTCAGTTGTGATTTAGTTTTGTGACTAGTTTATGATTCTTGATTGTAGTTAAACGAAGTGTGGTTATATGATTAAGGCCCGGTTTATTCATCCTCAAATAAACTTGCTGGTAACCATCTGCAACATAAATTTACTGTTCTATAATTCTATTGGTCGACGGATAACTGGCCTACCAATGAGATTACAGATTGTGTTTCTATCTGTCAGATTGTGTACCTGACAGTTTATCAGAAGGTAAATAAACCGACCCTAATTGGCTATGGTCCGAATATAACCAGGGTTATGGTTTTGCGGTCCGAAATTATTCAAACTACTCTGGTTCCTGGAAAAGGGGTTACTTTTAGACCTGGGTTTCCTGAAATCTGGTGAACCAAATGTCAAAATAGTTACCAGCCATCGGATGCCGGTTCGATTGGTTTTATGTGTCGTTTCTGTCCATAATTTTTTATTTCAGACAGAAAAAAATATATAGAATATAAAAAGACGACTAATCACTACCTATAAATGTCAGTCGGACGTCGCGATGTTACTATAAAACAACGGTCGTGTAAATAGCAGATGTTACCACTATCTTAACAAAGTGCAGTTCATTAGACGCTGAAATTAACGCCTGGAAAACGGAATTTTGACGTCGTACAATAATTGTATGAAGAGATTTAGTCGCCATATAACCAGAAGCCGACTTACGTTGCGATTGGCACAGAACTTGCTTGCTACGAACGTCAAAATTCCAATTTCATGAAAAATAGTGCATGATTATACAAAAGATCTTTTGTAAGCTATTGTTGCATGTCAAAAACACACTTATTTTCACATATCTACCTTCTATAGCTGCATAAATAAAGAATTTCTAGTATTGCATTTTTCTGAAAAACGATGGAAACAAGACTTCAATGTATGTATTGAGTGTTAACTGCTGAAATTATTTTTGCGATACCACAAATCTTATTCCGAACAATAAATAAATATGTGTTTCAAAAGTTAAAAGACCTAAACAATAATTAATATAATACTAACCTTCTCTCATTAGAAACTATTTATTTATAAAAAATAAATTAATACACTTTACACTATTTTATAGCAATGCCAAAAAATACACTTCTAGAAAACTAAAATACCACAATTAAAGGTTTAGCGCGAATATAGACAAAACGTACTGTACCTGAAACTGCACCCCCATGACTATTGTTGGAGGGGTTGGAAACAAACAAAATGCCCCTTGGTAAGGTGGCACGTGCTCATAGAAATAAATAAAAAAATGGTTACTTCTAGTAAACCAGGTGCGGAGGAATTATTGACCCGTATAGATAGACATGGTGTATGCATATAAAATGGTTTATTATTGGAGCCTTCAATAATATTAAGAGCAGTATAACATCACCAAAAAATTTCATTAATAATTAAAGCGGGTTGTTCAAATATATATATATATTTTTTTTTGCTGGTA